AATATCAACCAACCCGCCCACCCACCCATCTACCTACCTACCTCTAGCTAGACCAAGTCGACACATCTTTTTGCACGGACGAAGTCAATAGCTTCGAACGACGAGGAGCGAGACGGAGAGTAGCGCACACGTTTGCACGAGTGAGCACATCCCGCCAGACGCGGCGCTCCGATCGTTCCTTTCCCGTTTTTCCGCACGACGTTTGATTATAATGGACTCTATTCGCGCGACTCCCGGCCGACGTAATAGAAAGTCATTGGTAACATACGGTCGCGGGTCAACAAGGTTAATTCAGTTTACCACCGATTTCCAACGCCACCAACCACGTAATCCTGCCGTCCCCCCCCCCTCCCCCTCTCTCGTACGCGCGCGTTCCCTCTCGGCGTCCTTCACCGTCGGGTCCAACCCTCTTTACCCTCCGCCTCCTTCCTTCCTTCTTCGCTAATTCCGACACGCCTGACTTTGCACACCGGCTCTCTGTGTGTGCGCGAGGGTGGTGAGGTGCAAATATTGATTTGACGACCGTAACCTCGCGGCGCTGATTTGCCCGAATGGCGGCCTGTCTACGAACCATCGAAGCCAATTTGCGGGCTCTTTGTATTGTGCCCGTCTAGTATTGTCCTATAAAACGCCGCGGGGCTCCGTTAGCGACAGAAGGCATCGTCAGTCTTTGTGTCGCGTTTTTAACGCGCTTGCTCACCCCGATACTCCCGGCTAATATTCCGTATTCAGTGATTCCTTTGTATAGCACGATTCATCGCGCGCGTATCGGTCTATAAATCAATTAACGCGTAAATATTTTTCTTAATTAATTTCTCCCTTTCATTATTCACATGTGTAAAAATGGAATATCTGAAAATATCTTGTTAGACTGTTTGCGATGAAGTAGAGAGAGAGAGAGAGAGAGGGGGGAGTATCGCTTACGTACTCGATATACAGATCTCGTCTATAAAAGGGGACGAATATCCACTTTACACTTATGACGTTCCCGAGAAACGAACACACTTTGCCGTTTCCTTCGCTCTAACAAACCGTGTAACCGATGCGACTCGCGCGGGGATCTACCGTTGAAATGTTTTTGCGCGCCCGGGGTATCTCCCCGTTAAGGAACAAGAACTAGCCACGGGTGAACGAAACGCTGGTCGGTAACGATACCGACATGCCGAGAAGAAGATATGATTCAAGTCGAGAAGTTTCTCTCGCCGGCGTGAACACGGGAAAAACGGGTAACTCGGCGCGGCACGCCGCGACGGCGCAAGAAAACGAACACGGGGAATAAAAGCGGTAAGACAAGTCGCGGTGGCTGAGACAAGCGGGAAGAAAACTGCAGCGGTCTCCCGCACCGTGTCCCCTCCATTTCGTGATCTTTCATTGAACGAGCACCGGTCGATCCATTAAGGAAATTAAGCGGGTAGAGCGTGTGTTCCCTTTCTCGCCCGCGCGGCGACACGTTCTCGACTCTGTTATGCGCGACGGTGCTGCGAAATATTCGCGAGAAATTGCGGAAGACTTTTCCTCCCTCTCGTCCGCTGGAGTTTCAAACGCGATACGCTGACACACCAGAACAGAGATAGAGAAAGAGGGGTAACAGAGGAAGCGGAAGAGAAACGAGATATCGAGATCGAAGACGTGAAGAGAGAGAGAGAGAGGACCTCTCCCTGCGAAGGGAGTTTTAAATATCTCCGTTGGATACACCATTCGCATATAAATCGCGCAACTATCCGAAAAGGATTACCGGAATTAATCGCGGAAGTTTCATATCGAACGAAGGAGGGTGTAGGGGCGATAAACGCGGCGATACGATTTTACGGTGGGACGTTGGGTATTAATGAAGTTCGCTTCGCTTATATTCGATATTCCGGGAGAGGCCGTGGATACAGATGTTGTCGGGGATGTGGAACGAGCGTAATTATCCGGAAGACCGGGTAACGCTTGCAACAGCTCCCGTTGACGGGACGGGGAGAAACGGGCGAATATCCCGGGCATCATTCTTTCCAGGATCGATCGGCTCCTAACTCAAGGTTCTCAAGGTCTCCCTACGGGAGTTCCGGCGTGCTCGGCACAGTCGGTTTTGTCTGGCCCCGGGGCTACCACGTGGACGGTTTCAGAATGCAATTCTTTGGGAATTGGCTTCGGGTTTCCGCGGGATTGCCTCGATTTGGGACGAATTACTTTACTCGTTCTCTCTCTCAAAAGCAGTTCGCTCGCGCCCCGTCGCCACTCGGTCGCGAGAAACTTCCTCCGTGAAACCTCCCGCTTCCGAAGTCTGTACACGCCGGGCGTATCTTTCGCTGCGAGCTACCCGATTTTCTGAAGGTCTTGTTCACTCTCCCTCTCCCTCTCTCTCTCTTCTTTTCCCGAAGTCTTTACCAGAACGGATATTCGCTCGGCCCGATCGAGGCGATTTATCGTGCCGCAATTGACATTGTTTT